GAGGATACTGTTTCTTTGTTCAGATTAAGCCTCTATCTCAGGCAGGCACTGTGTCCCTGGATCGGGGGGGGGGGGGGTGGGGAATGACCTCCCCCCCACCCTATAGTTCTAGGCTCAACACATATTCCTGCCCCTCCTCCAGAGAAAAAGAGACTTATTCCCTATTTCCTGCTCCCTTCCCATTCTTTACTGGAGAAAGGCCCTAAGACCAGTGGTGTGTACTGCCCTACTCTCTGCAGTTTCTTCCTTAGTACAAAAGTCTTTGAAGGACACTTGGTTAGAATACTGGCCAGTCTTTTTCTAAGGTCCAGCTCAGTCCCACAGAGAGAGGGCTGTGTATGCTTGAGGATTTCCCTTGTCTGTGGCCCCCAGGGTCCTGTATTCTTTCCACCAGTCTACATCCTTCCTCTAACAACTTGTTAACAATTTTAGCTGAAATCTTCTTAGTGGGGTCCAGCTGAAAGAAAAAAAAGTGAAACCGAGGTCACTCAGTCATGTCCAACTCTTTCCGACCCCATGGACTGTAGCCTATCAGGCTCCTCTGTCCACGGCATTTTTCAGGGAACAGTACTAGAGTAGGTTGCCATTTCCTTCTCCAGCGGATCTTCCAGACCCAAGGATCGAACCTGGCTCTACCTCATTGCAGGCAGACTCTTTACTCTCTGAGCCACCAGGGAAGCTGGGTCTAGCTTAGTCTGCCCCAGTTAAGCTCATGTCCACACCTCCTCACCCACTCCAGTGTTCTTGCTTGGAGAATCCCAGGGACGGGGGAGCCTGGTGGGCTGTGGTCTGTGGGGGTCTCACAGAGTCAGACACGACTGAAGTGACTTAGCAGCAGCAGCAGCCATACCTCCTCAAAGACACCTGTCTTTGCTTTGATCTGGGACTAGCCAGTTGCCTGTGACTTCAGCTCTTGGACAGCTTAAAGGAAAGTTGTGAATCTGCACTTTGTCTAGCTTGTTGTTGTTATACAAGTGGGACATCCCTTCTTACATCCCTCAGAGAAACCAGAGGTCTCCATTCTTTTTTGCAAAAGTAAGTACTGAAAATTGGTTGCTGCTTTGGTTACCAACTTTGTCCAGGCTATTTTGAAATGATGCCTATATGTTTCCAGGTTACCAGGGAATTCTCCATGTAAGAACACTGGAGTTCATAGCTGTTCCCTTCTCCAGGGGATCTTCCCAACCCAGGGATCCTCCAGGGGATCTTCCCGACCTGGGGATCCAACCCAGGTCTCCTGCATTGCAGGCAGATTCTTTACCCTCTGAGCCACCAGAGAAGCCGCCAAAGTTTTAGTCACTCAATCGTGTCTGATTCTTTGTAACTCCATGAACTGTAGCTCACCAGGCTCCTCTGTCCATGGAATTCTCCAGGCAAAAGTACTGGAGTAGGTAGCCATTCCTTTCTGCAGGGGTTAAAAGATAGGAGCTATGCCTTTTCAAAGGGCCTTGGGGAGGGAGGGAGTTCACAGGCTTCTTTTGAAAAGCATTTGCTGTTCCTGACATTTGCCACCAGAGGGCAAGTCACCACATCCGTCTCCTTCTCACTGGGTGAGGTCAGGCTTCCCAGGCTTCCAGCAGGGAAAAGTTGGGTGTGTAAAGTGAGAGGCAGAGGCATCTAAGTACCTGAGGCTCACAGCCTGTTTTCGAGGCCTCCCTCTGGGCTGTACAGGTGGGGCTCCTAGGCCCTGCAACCCTGACCCGAGGGCCACAGCTGTGCCCTCTGCACAGAAGATGCCTTCTGACGTCCAGGCTGAGAAGCTGCCAGGAGCCTGCTGGGTGGTCAGGCTCTAGCACCTAGAGGTGATTCCAACCTTCTGCTTTGTGTGTTTGGAGGGAGGCGGATGGTCAGGGTGGGGAGCCCCGGAAGTCCATCCCAGCCCAGCTACTGAAGAGAGGAATGCCCAGGGCCCTTCTGTAGGGACGCGGAGGAGGCTGCAGAGCTATACTACTTTAGTCGGTTTATCTGACAAATAAGCCAAAGTCATAGTAGTTTCAAGTGATAAGTTTGCTTCTCGTGCAAATAAAGCCTAAAACAGATATTCCTGATGATCAGGCAGGTCCCCTCCAAGTGGGGAATCAGGAACCCACTCCTGATGCAGGGCCTCCATCATCAGAAGGCTCGATGGTGGGAAGGGTGTGGGAGAAGGCCCACCCACCCCTTACCACATTGCCCAGGGCTTCACACAGTGCTTCTGCTCAAGCCCCACAGATGCAAGCAAGCCTGTGTTCTTTCCTAACGCTAGGTTAGGGGCTGGGAAATAGAGCCGGGCCTAGGCAGGTGCCCCTAAGGCACCTCTCCCCTGAGAAGGTGGACAGGCAGACCCCAAATTGTCCACATTGTACCTACAGAAATTACTTGTAACAGATTATTATTCTAGAACAATGTTTGCCAGATTTGCTTGATTTTAGACCCATGGAGAATGCTTATTTAAAATAGAATCCTTGGGTCTGTTTCCTGGACACTCTGGTTTGGCCATCTGCATGGGAGCATGGAGTGGGTGCCCTTACCAAGCTCTCCCTCCAGGAAGCCATCCTGCCCTGTCTACAGAGGGAGCCCCTGCCCCGGCCCCCACCCGTGGGTGGGAAGCCAGGCCAGCCTTATCTCTGTTGTCATGGTAACTCTTGGGACTGTGGGACCAGCTCCTGGGTGTGACCCAAGGGAGGCGGGTCCTGACCCGGCCCTGCAGGCCCCGCCCCCCGCCCCGCCCCCACGATTGTGACCACTCCACAGCTCAGCCCTGGGAGGGGTGGCTATGAGTCACAGCCACACCAGACAAGACCAGTCTGTGGCCAAGGTAAACCAAGCTGCCCCTGACCTCCCAAACCAGAGCACACTGCCGCCCAGCCCCATCCAGGTGAAAGGGAAAATCTGGAGCAAACCTGCGTTTCCCTGAAACGGGGGCTGGGTGTGGGGTGGAAGAAGACTATGTGTGTCTTTAGCAACACTAGAGGGCACCACCGAGTCAGTATTTCCTGTTCTTACTAGAAAATCAACTATTAACGGGTATTCAATCTTAGATTTTATGTATTTGTTATGTATTGATTTGCCTTTCTGTTTTTGCCATGACACCTTTGTCATGAATGTTGGGGAAATGACACCAGATTTGTGGCCCGCATCTGGGGGGCAGGGGGAGGGACTGCGCAGAGGAGTAAGGAGACGGCAGAGTAAACCCCAGGCAGGAGAAGGGCCCCTGCGCCCTAGAGTGGTGACTGGGGCTCAGTGTCCTGAAAGATGGGGCTCTTTGTGCCAAAGGAAAGCAGTATTTGGGAGGCCCCGTGTGCTCAGTCAGGGTCAGACAACATCTGGCCACCAGAACAGGAGTGGGGCAGAGGCACTCCAAGGCCAGAGCCAGCAAGGATAAGCCTGAATCGGGGAGGGCCCCGCCCAGCTGTCAGCTTCTAACCCACTTCCCCAGCTAGAAGGTGGTCCAGCCTCACCTGCATCCTAAGCCAGTGGGACAGCAGAGGTGAGACCTCCCTGTGGAGGCCCCAAGGCCCCAGCAGGTCTGAGTGTCACACCTGAAGCTGCACTGGTCCCTGCACCCACATATAGTACCCCCAGTGTTTGGGCAGGCCGGCTCCCCAGGTCCTGCCTCCACCCCAACCCTTCTGAAGTAGGCCCCAGTCCCTGGGGGCTGAGGCATGTTTTAATGAATCAGTCCCTCTGTGCAGTGAGGAGCCTGTCTCTCCTCACTGCCTTGTTCAGTTGCTCAGTTGTGTCGGACTCTGTGACCACATGAACTGCAGCATGCCAGGCTTCCCTGTCCTTCACTATCTCCTGGAGTTTATTCAAACTCATGAGTCAATCATGCCATCCAACCATCACATCCTCTGTCACCCCCTTCTCCTGCCTTCAATCTTTGCCAGCATCAGGGTCTTTTCCAATGAATTGGCTCTTTGCATCAGGTGGCCAAAGTATTGAAGCTTCAGCTTCAGCATCAGTTCTTCCAATGAATATTCGGGGTTGATTTTCTTTAGGATTGACTGGTTTGATTTCCTTGCTGTCCAAGAGACTCTCAAGAGTCTTCTCCAGGACCACAGTTCAAAAGCATCAATTCTTCAGCATTCAGCCTTCCTTATGGCCCAACTCAGATCCGTACATCTACTGGAAAAACCATAGCTTTGACTATACAGACCTTTGTCAGCAAAGTGATGTATCTGCATTTTAATACTCTGTTTAGGTTTGTCATAGCTTTCCTTCCAATGAGCAAGGGTCTTTTAATTTCATGGCTGCAGTCACCATCTTCAGTGAAGATTTTTGGAGCCCAAGAAAATAAAGTCTGTCACTGTTTCCCATATCACTGCCTTGTCCACCTACACATTCCCTCCTCAGAAGGCTCGGTGGTGTGGTCTGCTCCAGAACAGCTTGCCAAAGCTCCCTCAGGCTGCTGTTCACCCTCAGGGCGCTATTACCACCTGACAACAGAAGCTGTGTGTCACCTGTTCATCCAGCCCTCAGTATAGAATGTGAGCTCCCTGTGGCCAAGGCCACTGTTTCCATGGGTCCCACACAGATAGACCTGCTCAATGAACTCATGGATGAGCAGGTGGCAGGCAGCCCTCACTCCCCTTCTCTGGGAGGAGCTGGGTGGGCCTGGACTCAAGCCCTCTCCTAACTGACCTTGCTCAGCGCACTGTCTGGCCTGGGTCCCGTCTGTAGAAAGAGCAAAAGCAGTAATAGCTTCGTTTTGTCTGCTGCCCCAGGAGGGTCCCTCCCTTTTGATCCGTGTCGAGGCCAAATCATATCTCCAAACTGCTCTTTGGCATCCACAATAAAATAAAGAAATTTTTTAAACTGTTAGTGGTGGTTTTGAAACCTCCGGCCTTAAGATTCCTGCCCGCGTAGAGGTCCTGTGCATACCTCCATTTGGTTCCCTTAATCACGGCAACACCTGGACTCAGTGGACTTCTCCTGTCCTCCCTAGGGGTCACGGGGGCTTCGGGCCTCCTCTCCCACCCTGGGCCACCTGGCACAGGTCTCTCTCTTTTATGTTCCAGCCGTGATCCCCCTGACGGATTCGGAGCACAAGTTGCTGCCTCTGCACTTTGCGGTGGACCCAGGGAAGGACTGGGAGTGGGGGAAAGACGACAATGATAATGCCCGGCTGGCCCAGTAAGACCCTACTCTGTGCCCCTCCCTCCCCACCAGTGCCATTCGAGGCGGGATGTTGCTGGGTTTCCCGGGGAGGGGCTGGGCAGGTGCCCCTGCTTCTAGTGGTTGGCTGGGCTGCTGGCCTGAAGGCAGGAGGGGGTGCATGCGGGCGGACTGGGGCACATCTCACTTGGTGTTCCTCTCTCGCTAGCCTGATCCTGTCGCTGGAAGCCAAGTTAAACCTTCTGCACAGCTACATGAATGTGACATGGATCCGGATCCCCTCGGAGACCAGGGTGAGCTTGGCGCGCGCCAGGACAGACCAGCAGGCACCCTCGGTTCCGGGCAGGCAGGCAGAGTGCATCCTCCCCCACGCGGGGCCCCCTAACGCTGGGTTCCATCCAGCCTATGGTGCGCGCAGCTCCAACTCCAGCTGAAACGTGTCTGCGCACCCGTGTGATCGCGGGTCTGGGCATAGATGCACGTACCGGCTAGGGGAGTTTTTGTTCCCTTATTTTCTTCAGAAGGAGAGGCATAAACACACCCTCAAAAGAAACCATAGGCAAGTCACAACACAAAACTCTGCCGAGATGGGAACATGATGTGCTGCCATGGAGCAGAATTAATTCTAAACCTGTGTGTAGGTCCTTGAATAGGCAGGGAACCAGGGCGCGATTCCTCCGCACTTCCTCTTGTTCTTCTCTCCCCTCCGGGGCGGGGAGCTGTGAGAAAGGGGGCTGGTGCCCCACTTGCCCCTCCTCCCTCGGGTAGGTCCAAGCTGGCCCTGCCTCCAGATGTTAAGAATGATTCGCTTTAAGTATCTGGCTGATGTTTCTGTGCCCTCACTTTCCTATAGTGAAATCTCAGGAAAGGGGATTTTTTTTTTTAAAGCTTACAAATAATTGGTCCTCCCCAGACATCAGTTTAATTAGCCATAAAGTGGGGCCTATAACTAATAGTTTTTAAGTTTCATAAAGAAGGCAAGGAGGGCAGTGCCCAGCACACAGCCAGTAAGCACCCAGGACAAGTGGGCACTGCTCAAAGTGCTTTTGTACTTCAGCCTTTACTGGTATCTAATCTTCACAGGGCTCCCTGATGCAGGCCCTGATTCCCTGTATGGCACAAGTGACAGTCAGCGGCAGTCTGGTTCGTGACTACATCATGACGCGGCTGTGGGTGTTCTTTTCTAGCGCCCACGAGGGCTGTGAAGGCAGCAACTCCAGATCGAGGATCAAGAGACTCGGGCTGGGACACAGCTCGGGCTTGGGACAGTCAGGCTGGAGGCCACACCAAGGGGGCGGGGTCTGCCTCCTGCGGCAGCAAGAGGAAGGCTGATCTCTAACCTCCTCCCTTTCCTGCCCTCCCTCTCCCCTGCAGGCCCCTCTGGCGCAGCCGGAGTCCCCGACGGCCTCCGCGGGGGAAGACGTGCAGTCCCTGGCCGACTCGCTGGACTCGGACCGAGACTCCGTGTGCAGCAATTCCAACAGCAATAACGGCAAGAACGGCAAGGAGAAGGAGAAGGAGAAGCAGCGCAAGGACAAGGACAAGACCCGCGCGGACTCTGTGGCCAACAAGCTGGGCAGCTTCAGCAAGACACTGGGCATCAAGCTGAAGAAGAACATGGGCGGCCTGGGCGGCCTGGTGCACGGCAAGATGAGCCGCGCCAACTCCGCCAACGGCAAGCACGGCGACGCGCCCGAGCGTGGCAAGGAGAAGAAGGCCAAGGCGCGCAAGGGCAGCAAGGAGGAGTCGGGCGCCTCGGCCAGTACGTCGCCCTCGGAGAAGACCACGCCGTCGCCCACGGACAAGGCGGCGGGCGCGTCGCCGGCCGACAAGGGCGGCGGGCCCCGCGGCGACGCCTGGAAGTACAGCACAGACGTGAAGCTGAGCCTCAACATCCTGCGCGCCGCCATGCAGGGCGAGCGCAAGTTCATCTTCGCCGGCCTGCTGCTCACCAGCCACCGGCACCAGTTCCACGAGGAGATGATCGGTTACTACCTGACCAGCGCGCAGGAGCGCTTCAGCGCCGAGCAGGAGCAGCGGCGCCGCGACGCCGCCGCCGCCGCCGCCGCTGCCGCCGCCGCCGCCGCCGCCGCCTCCACAGCCAAGCGGCCGCAGCGCAGGCCGGAGGCCGAGGGCGCGCCCGGCCCCGAGCGCGCCTCGCCAGGCCTGCCGGCCGGGCAGCCCACACAGCTGGTGCTCAAGCTCAAGGAGCGCCCGAGCCCCGGTCCCGGAACCGGCTCCCGGGCGGCACGGGCGGCGGCAGGCGGTTCGGCTTCCCCAGTCCCCGGCGGCAGCGCGCGGCGCGCGGGCGCCAGCGGACCGGTCCCCGGCCGCAGCCCCCCGGCGCCGGGGCGCCAGAGCGTCATTCACGTGCAGGCGGCGGGCGCGCGGGACGAGCCGTGTGTCCCAGCTGTGGGCGCACTGCGGCCGTGCGCCACGTACCCGCAGCAGAACCGCTCGCTGTCATCACAGAGCTACAGTCCGGCGCGCGCCGCCGCCTTGCGCACAGTCAACACGGTAGAGTCGCTGGCGCGCGCTGTCCCAGGAGCCCTGCCCGGGGCGGCGGGCGCGTCCGAGCCCAAGTCGCAGACCTACACCAACGGCTTCGGCGCGGCGCGCGACGGCCTGGAGTTCGCCGACGCCGACGCGCCGGCCGCGCGCTCGAACGGTGAGGGCGGCCGGGGCGGCCCGGGTGCGGGCCCCGTGCAGAGGCGCTGCCAGCGCGAGAACTGCGCGTTCTACGGGCGCGCCGAGACCGAGCACTACTGCTCGTACTGCTACCGCGAGGAGCTGCGGCGGCGGCGCGAGGCGCGCGCGGTCCGGCCCTGAGCGCACGGCCCGGCCCTGCCGCCGGGCTGTCCTCTCCAAGTTGTCGGTGTCTCCTCTGCGCCCTGGTCCACCGGGAGCCCGGCGATCCTCTGTCCGTGCTGTGTACGTGTTTGGTCAAACGTTCCTAATGGTGCCTGAACCTACACTGACGCCACTCAGGTAGTAGACGGATAGGAAACAAGTCATACTGTTGGAAGTGGGTGTGCTAGCTAGCATCTGCCTCGTACCTGTGGAAACTCAATAGCCATTGCAAGGGTATTTTTGTTCCTCGATAAGAGAAATAAAGAAATTTGCAGCCCTTTGTTTTTAGAAGGGAGTGTTTTACATGCCTTTTTTTTTCCTTTGCTTTTTTTTTTTTTCCCCTAACCCGGCGACTGACCTCTTCCATGTAGCGGTCACCTGCGTGCAATCATTGCCACCCAGGGTTTCGAGGCGAACGCGCGGCCCTGGGACCGCGGTGGCGGCTCTGCCTCGGGCTTCCACCTGTACCCTTCCGGGGTCCCTGGAGGACAGGGCGCTCGGCCGCCCGCTGGCGCCCTGATGGTCTCTCTGGCCCTTTAGGAATACGCGGCTCCATCTCATAAGCAAAACCTCCTCCCACAGCCCCCGGCTCGAGCGACACTCACACTGCCATCAAAGCCACGGGCGTCTGTAGGCTGGGCACGGGACAAGCTACCTCGCGGGGCGCGGTGATGTGTAGCGGTCGCTCCCGGTGCGGGGCAGCTCAGGTGACAGGAGCTTTCCAAAGACACCGTGGGGCCCGAGGGCAAGGTTCCGAACTCACGATTTGGAGTTGCCCATATATGAGCAAAGATGACAGCCTGTTCACATTTCTCCTTCGAAGACGCTTCCCCAGTGAACTGTCGCCTGAGGGGCCCCTCGGAAGCGGCCATCGGTGCCCCAGGAGAGAGGTGAGGACTTGGCCTTGCGGTCACTGTGTAACCCCCAACTAGGCTGCCCTGAAACGCGGCCCACCCCTCTTTCCAGAGGGGAGGGACTGAGGGCCGCCGGGGAGGAAGCCCACCCCCACCTCCACCCGCATCTGTCTGGGGGCAGCCAGGTGGAGGCGCGCCGCTCCCGTCTGGGTCCCCTCCGCACGGTGGCTCCAGAACACGTTAGGGGCAGCCCCATCCCTGAGCGATCCCTATATTGGTGCCTCCTTACATTTCTTGAGGAAAAAAAAAAATGTGTCCTTAGCTACCCTGTTCTGAGCAGCAATATGCAGCGTCTTCCTTCCAAGATTACCTCTGGAGAATACCGTTCTTGGCCAAGGACACCGAGGCGTTAAACCTGCCTCTCTAAGGAAATATCTTGTTTCCAAGAAATACAGAAATGATGGGTAAAACCCTCACTAGCAAAAGAATCCTTTAAAACCTGTGAGAGCCTTAGAATAGCCTCTAATAATCCCAAGAAAGAGAGAAAGCGCCCAGCTTCGCTGGGGGTGTATCTAAAGAAAACACGGGAGGCAGATCATCTCTTCATTGGAGCCAGCTTCTCCTTCTCCAGAAAGGATGCTTTTCCCAGACATAAAGAGCAGCAAAAAAAAAAAAGGAGATTTTTTTTTTACTTGTTTGAACTATTATAATAAACTAATTTGAATATCTCCTGTGAGTAATTCATTTTTGTTTTTAATTATCCACAGCAGGTGGAGTTTTCAGTCATTTATTCAAGTTTTACATAAGTGGTTCCTTAAAATTATTTATTAAATAGGACCTTAAATTTTGGGGGAGTTTTACTGTTCATGCTAAACAATACTTTCAATGTGTGGTAATCACTAACAATTATGTCCCTCATATTACTGGGGTTTCTTTTGTTGAAAGAAAAAAAGCAGTTTTTAAAAAAAAAAATCTCTCATCAAGAGGGTTTGTGGCAGCTTTTTGAACTGATTCTTCACATTATGCTGACCAACTGCTTTGCCATCCAAAGCTGTGAAGTCACAGGAAATAAATACTGCTTCACGTGTAGACTCCGGCTTCTGCCCTGCATCTCACAGAAGGTGGAACAGCCAGCTTGGAAAGTTCTTCCCTGTGCGTTCATAAACCAAACACATATGCACAGCAAGTCCAGGCAGAAAGTAATCTCGTGTTTGCTTTTTAATTTTTTAACATGAAAACAGCCAACCAGAAATTTCCAAAACTGGCTATGCAAATATTTTATCTTTCTTATGCTCTCCACCAGGTTTAAAAAAAAGAGAGAGAAAGAAAAAAGGCAAACCGAGATTTAAAACAGTCTATTTGTAGTACAAGAGGAAGAACCAGGCAGTGTAATTTGTACGTATTATCAAATACCAGTGATCTATTCTAGCTCCTCGAATTTCAGTCACCTCTACCCTACCCCCATCTGACATTTGTGCCATAAATAAGCCTGAGATCCAACCCAACCCTAACCCCCAGGCTCCTCCTCTCCCCCCAGAGTAGACGACCCCCCCCCCGCCGTGTCTCTCCATGTGGTCACTAGCCACTCCATGTGCGGAGCACCTGTGGGTGTCGCTCCCTGGTGGAAGACAGGATGCCCTTGGTCAGCATTGTTTACAAACAGCCATTTCCTCTTATGAGAGATCTGGATCTATCCTTCCTCTAAACAGTGTTTAAAACAGAAAGCCCACTGTTGCGTTAAATGTGCTGGTCCAGCCCCTCCGTGTTCACAAGAGTTTTACCCCTCATCCCTGGCCAAACATCTCTTAGACCAAATGAATTCATCAGGCTTCGCGAGAACCATTAGAAACAGCTGTGTTTTTCACATGTGGATCAAGAGATCCCTTAATGTCCTTCTGTGACCTGGGAGCCCTTAGTGGAGTCGGGGGAAAGGAAGTGGGTTGGGGCACTAGAGAAAAGGAAAACAGCCAGTCTATATTCTAGAAAGGCCATGAGCTCCACCAAGGCACAGGTCCTGGATGCAAACAGGATCCTGCGAGCTGTCTTCCCCTCCAACCTGGTCTGGCCAAACTTCCCTTTCTGGGAATGTCGGACTTCTCTAAGTGACAGCAAAATTCCAGAAGGAACCCCAGATACTTCTAAACCCCAGTGGAGGTTATTTCAGTCATTTGCTTCACACTTTCTGCATCTGCATGACCTGGGTATATGATTTTTTAAAACTAATATATTGTGAAAGGAAGGCGTTTTTAAGTGTATTCTGTTTGTAGATTTTATGCTATGTTGATATTTTACAAGCCAAGTTTAAACTGTACTATAGAAATTATTTTTATATTATTTTCAGAATATGCCACAGAGCAATATTTGCACCCTTATATTGTCACGGGGTTGTCCCCTTGGAGGGCTAAATTTAGGTTGGGTGGGGCTCCAGTGTGGGCTCTGGGGGATGAAACACCTTCTGCTATTTGTTCACATCTGATTTGAAAGTGGAACTGTGTGAACGTCTCTTCCTTTTTCCACGGAAAGCTCAATTCATTTGCTGTTCCTGGATTTTGGTACTGCACCTTTCCTCTTAAATGAGTACTTTCTATTCACTAAGTTACCGTGGACCTTTTTCTTACCTATCACCACCCAGTGGCTCCAGTGGTGTTCCGAAAAGTTTGGATGTATTACTTTACAAACTTCATGTTTTCCAGAGTGATTTGATGTGTTAATTCTGGTAGCATACCGTCAGGAATTTAGTGACTCAAGATCGAGGAGCACACGTCAGGGTGTGAAATGTTCCTGGTGGTGCCCACTGTCTCTGAGGCGGGGTCGTGGCTACATGACCCTCACCCCCTTGCTTAGCAACCATGAGCTTATTTTGCAGACTATTTTGCAGAAATAAACTTAACTGATCAAAATATATTTCATGTTAGTTAAGAAAAAAGGGCTGTACCCATCAGTGGTGGGAAATTTGTGCGAGGTTAAAAAAAAAAAAGGCTTTGCAAAACCATGTGTTTTATTCTCTGTGTCTTTCATGTTTACAAGAGATGTGGAGTAATGCGCATTTGGGAGTGTTTCTTTTCTTTAGGATATGAGTCAGTTTTCCTCATTGTGGTGTGGACTTTACAAATTAAGGGCCTTGAGTGCTTTTTTTCTTTTTCTTTCTTCCAATGCTTCTAATAAATAAGAAGAGAGAACATGTGTCATGGCTGATCAGGCCTGCTGTGACATTGCCTCCATTCACAGTCTGATTCTGCTGTAACCTGAGTGCTGGCATGTTCAGGAAAGGGCCCTGCAGTGATTGGTAGCCCTGACACCAGGGAACAGGTGGCCCCTTCAAAAAAGCCTTAAAGCGGTGGCTCTCTGGAGACCTCCGGGCCACAGCTTGCACTTCAGTCCTAACTGTAAACTCTCTTTTCTGCTGGAACTGGCTGCTTTGATGGGGGCGCTCCAGGGTGATGAGGGGCACCCAGCTTCATTCTTGTTTCAGTCACGTCCCCCCAATCCACTCTCCAATGGGGGTCCTGGTTCCCTAGAGCATGGTCCTAATGATGGGTCTGCTGACATGGGGTTGAGTCTAGGGTTCTTCATCCCAGGAACCCCCCAGTTGGGAGAAGTTTCATGATTGTTCTGAGCAATGTGCAAAATTGTCTGTTCATAGTTATGCAGGTGGCTTTGTTCCCCCAAACCAGTGCTTTCTCTTCACTCCATGCCCCCTCAGCAGAGAATAGAGGGGGGGCTGCCCTACATGGACCCCTTGGGAATAAATGTGTGTGTAGTTTGTGCAGTGTCAAAATGCCAAGCTCCCCACACACACACACCCCCCCCCCGCCACCGCCGTCTGCCACCTGGCTGACTTGGTACATACATCACCCAAGGAATAGCATAGAAACCAGAATCTCTTAAACAAGGCTAGCAATATTACTATTTCTGTTTATTTTGTAAAATAATTTGCTGAAATTTTCAGTTTTGCTACTTGATGATTGCAAAAACAAAGTTCTACCAACCCTAATTAGTGTATACAAAGTGCCCATTGCTTATCCTTTTTCATTCTTTTAAGAAAACATCTGAAGAGTATGAAAAGACGTACACACACACTCCGTTCTTTAACAGAGGCTGGGAGTTACCACTACTTTTTAAAAT